CAAGCAATCCAACGCATTCCGAAGATAGGCTTGATACGTATTAAAAATATTCCCACGTTCTCGATTGTACCTAAATGAGTAAACGACTTCATTATGAAAAAAAACAACAAAAAATGTAGTGACTCTAATACAGAAGCAGAAAAATTCCAAGAGCCACACACTTCACGACAGTCGTGTGGGTGGGGCAATACCCACCGTTAGCTTCCTTATCAGTGAGCCCCTCACCTCAGTAACAAGAAAAGAGGACGCGTTAAATGCACGGCTCGTAATAAGGAGCATAGGTAGCGCTGTTGAAATATGGAAGAGAAGTTGCCAAAAGACTCGTCTGCGAAAAAAAAATGCCAAAAATGCCTTCAATAGGGTCCCCCAATCCCAAGCAATTGACGGGTAAAGCGCCAGAGAACCGCGGCTGAGGCGACTCCAGCAAGTCGTTTTGTTTTGTAATGAACTCTATGTCAGCATAAGATACGGTAGTGCATCAGTTTCATGTTACTCGTCCGGAACCGTCGCTTTTGGATGGAAGGAGGACTTCGAAAGTGGAGTCTGGAAAAAAGGAGGTGCCACTGGAACGACTTCGCGTCTTGACTCCTTTACCTTACAACACAACTTTTCACCGCGATACTGACACAAGATCGCCCATTGCGCAACACACTACCCTTCCCACACAATTTTCCGCATTTTCATAAGTCGTGGCGGGCGGTTCCTCTGATGAAGAGCGCACAAAGTCGCAAGTCTGGTTCCGCCCTTCCGGTGAGCGTGGACTGTGCTGAGTTCATAGGGTGTTATACATGTGCTGAGGCCGAGAACGACGCTTTATTCATGCTGCCCGCCATTTAACTTATGTTAGGTCACACCACAGGGTAACAAGGTACATAAAAGAGAACGGTCTTTCGGATGTTCCTCCATGAGCAGCAGCAAGCCGTCTATCACTGTCTCCACTGTGATGAGAAGGTGAGGCAACCCTCCGTTGCATTTGCTGTTCTAGACGGCTTACATGTGGGTATGGGGGGAGGGGAGAGGGAGGACGGGGAGCGATTCTTCGTCGGGCGCCGCCGCGGTGACAGGCGTGGCCTGCGATGCTGCAGCCATTCTCAGGGCTCGTTCATGTTATGAAATAAACCCATTCTATTGCAACCTTGAACACCTCTCAAACCAGAGGATCCCTTGTTTTAACGACAAGTAATGAGGATACGGTAGCGCAACACTGCCGCGCGACTAGCTGCGTGCGGCGTGAGCGGTGCGACCTCGTCAGGCCACGATGGAATCGCCTGACTTTCTGCTGGTCTTCCTCAAGCCTGAGGCAGCTGCATGATTTTCAGAGCTGAGTTATTTGCGTGTTGCTTCCTGACTCTAATTCTAGAGGACCAGCCTTGACGACATGACGACCGTGACAGAAAGTTCA